TAGTACCTGAGCACTAATTTGTTCAAAGTTTGGCTTTTTCACACTTATTTTAGATTTCGGCTTAATGCATTTTATGATAAATGAGCCATCTTGTATTCACTGATAAAAGACAATATGTTTCCTGAAATTTAAAAAAAAAAAAAAAAAATTGAAAGTTCAGGAAACATATTGTTTTTTTATCAAGTTATGTCTAAATTAGTTTGCCAATTTCCAACGTTGTACGATTGGAATCTTGTGAAAAGCCTTTAACCTTAAAAAATTTAATACATAGGCAATTATTACTATATAATTGGCTACAATATCCATTTATTATCCGAACCGGAAAAGAATACCGATCGAGTGTCAATCAATCGCAGGTCCACCAGCGGCTAAGCGGTAAAATTACTGAACGGAACTTTACTGAACACTTTTCGCATGGATTCGACCGGAGTTCGAATCCATGCGAACGGGGTGGCTGAACGGGCGTTTTCGTGGTTTCCCCAGGTGTGACATGCATACGAGCCAGTTTTACTTAGAACGTCCTCCACGAAAGCAACTCTTCCCTTAGGTAGATAGGGTGTGTTTAACTAAACTAGTAAGTAAACTAAATCGAACGAAACCAGTCAACCGCAAATTGTATTGTATGGCAGTTCTTATTTTGGCCTATTTAATTAGCCTTTATTTTTAGTCGGTTATCCTCTCTCGTCGTTAAACCAGATCAATTTAGAATTTAATTTTACAATAAACGAAGGGAAATAAATATAAAAACGAATAGTTTATTTCTACTGGCTTCGATCTACATAAATTGAAAATTTAAATTAAAAATTAACTGCTCACATTGCAAAAACTTACAGATTAACAAATAACGGAAACAAACACTGGGTCCTTTCAATAAACATCACATCTAGGATTACTAATTGTAACGAATATCGGTTTTTATAGTCAGCCAGAAGTTTGCTCTTATAGCTCTGATTAATTAAACTTGTTTTGTAAAATCAAATATCCTAAATTTGCATTCACCAAAAAATTTACTTATGAAAATATAAATATGTAATGAAATAATAAATAAATCTGTAATAAATATAATAAATAGTATGCTAAATAATATATTAATAAAATAATGAATAAATGTAAAGTAATTAATTAATAAGAATGTGTAATTAGTGTAATAAATAGTATACTAAAAATAAATAATGAATATTAATTAATTAATTAACATAAATATGTATCAAATGCAATAAAATAATTGTTTGATCATGATATTTTTTAACTTAAAGTTTGTAGGAAGTAACTTGTAACAATAATGAGTAATTTACTATATTTATATTAATGTAGAAATTTTTCTCAAGCACAAAAAGTATTGCAAAATAAGATCTAATGAATAAAAATTAAATGCTACCTTACAAAAAGGTTTTATAAGATTCGAGTCCCGCAGAACACTAGAAAATATTTGCGTGATTTGTTGTAAATATAATTGAGCATACATTTGGATATATCAAAACAATTTTTAGGATTTTAAAATTTCCTTCAATCAAAAGCATTAAGAACTAATCTGAACCGTTCTGAATAAGTTGTGTGAAAAATTAATTTCACATCTTCTGAGAAATTGTGAAGACGTAATTGCAAAATCTTAATTTTATAGTATTCTTTCTGAAAGGACATGTTGTTTGCGTAATCGGTTTTAAATGAAAATTAGCATAATAACGGAAATATAAATGTTCAGTTCAAATAATCATTACTATCTAGACATTGCCAGATTGCATGCATTTTCTATGGGAATTAGGACAGCGTTGCAAAATAAGAAAATGTAAGAAGGGAGCATAAAATATTTTAAATCTCAATAACTGCACATCACAGATTAACAATGATGTGAGAAATCTATAAAAGCACTTAGGACGCTTGTAAAATGATATAAAAGTGTGACTTTTAATAACTTCTAAAATGTATGCTTAAGAAAACTCGATGCAAGAAGTAGATATAAAATTAATGTGGTATGATTTCTAATTGTTAGATTTACCATTAATGGAATGCGATCAATATATTAGCAGTCATATCTTTTTACAGATTTTATTTAATACATTCTCACATTTAAATTGATTGAAGACATCCATTAAAATGCTTCATTACCTTACTTTACTTCTTTCTTTAGAGTCCGTTTACGCAAGTATATTTCTTGAATCAGATTTTCGGGGGATAAAACTTCAATTTATATGCAGGGATTATTTGACGTAATCGATTCAAACGGCATGAACTGCAGATATAGTTTAATGTATTAAAGGTGTTGTATATTCAAAAGTAATTGAAAGATATTTATCATTAGCTTAAGGATTTGTTACGGTTAAGCTTAGACAAACTGTATACATATACCATGTTGTTTTCCTACATTCAAAGTGTTCGTGAAATATGTTTAAAGGACAATTCTCTTTAAAACAAAAATTTAGAAGTACTGGTGTAGGAACATTGAGACGTAGAAACACACAAAATACTAATGGCGCAGCCTGTATATAGCACAAAACGTACATACATATTAAACAGACAACATTCTGATTGCATAGAATGCTACAATGCTGAATCAGTATTGATTAGGAAACGTGATAGCCGAGTAAGATTAAATATCCATTTTTATTTCAAATGGCATTTGCGGCCACAATTCATTTGGCAGTCTAACCGTGCCTATTGAAGAATATTTACATTTTTTATACACTTGTGATTGAAAGAGAGCAGAATGAAATAGCGTCCGAGTGGCAAAAGGTAGAAGCAAAGTGCACAATTATCCAATATGGAACCTCACCAAGAGAGGGTTTGGGTTTAGGTTAGAAAGATTTCATCTTTTGAAGTTTTAAGTTTAGGCTCCGAATTAATCACGTTATGAGAATTATGCAACGCATGTGACATAGACTGATCTAGAGATGAATCAGACCAGAAAATTATTCATATTTGCAGAGTACATAAAGGAAATACCCAAATTAAAAATGGGAAATTAAAAGCTGCTACAAATTATAAAGCAGAGTTAAATGTTTTTTATCTTATGTATATATAGATGTATAGATGTATACGCGCATCTGATACGTAACATGATATGAAAAGGATATATATCCATTAAAAAACGAATTGTTCTAACATATTTCACTCACTTTGAAACATAGAGTCGAATCGTCGAATACACTTTAAGTCTATTTACGAACATACAGTTCCAACACGAACATACAGTTCGAGATCATGTCACTTAGCATATTTGTTTTATAGGAAATACACTAAGTTCTTTCAATCTAATTAGGCAACTTCAAGCACAGTAGCTAAATTCAAAGATTATCTAGCCAAGTTTAAAGTAAGAGCCATTGAAGTAATTTGCTACAGTGGTCCTATCATTACTCGAAACAATATGGGAATACTACTTTCATGTATGGGATATGATTATTCCGTGGAATGTTTGAATAAATGAATCTAAATTATCTATAAAATCCTACATTCAATAAACACGTTCAATGAGGTATTGAATACACTAACATAATTCGATGATTTTAATATTAAAAAAATAATAGGATCATTCTTAAATCATTCTTAAATGCAGACAGCTAACAGAAATGTGCGAGCGTTAGATCTGTTAACAATAATTGTACTATAAGATTCCAGTTAAATTGAGTCTTCTTTGAGAACTAGAACATTTGTAAAAGTATATAGCTATTCTTCACTTACTTTTTAAACTGCAAAAACATAGTCCAAGGAAAGGATAAATTACCCTTTTATTTTAACTCAAATGTTTAACATTTAGCTCTTCTCGGGCTTACATGAAGCCTCAACTTGGGCTTGGTGACAAATAACAGGTGACAGTTGACAGAGAACGGAGGTACCAGACGTCTACCAAAGGTAAGCAGGTGCGTTCCCCTCGTCCTCCACTATCCAGCGCTTGTTGGAAAATTTAAGTATTTAGGTGAGAAACATGGCCTTACAGGGGCTAATGGCTGTACATTGGCTACATATTTGGGAACGGAGGGTGCAAGAAACATATGGATTTGGATGAGGGGCTTACCAAAGGTAAGCAGGTGCATGGCCCTCATCCTCCACTATCCAGCGCTTGTTGGAAAATTGAAGTATTTTGGTGAGAAACATGGCCTTACAGAGGCTAGCGGTTGTACAGTGGGTACAGATTTGGGAATGGAGGGTGTAAGAAACATATTGCAAAGCCAGAATATAAAACAGAGAACATAACGCGTAAAAGCACAGTAAATAACAAACTGAACTAATTCTAACTAACCAAAACTTAGGCGAAGCTGTACAGAAATAACTAACCGAGTTGGCCCATACTTAAACTTCACCGGCGAATACTAACAGGCATGTAATAATACGATCTAACTTAGTAAGATTGGTTTAGAGCAACGATGTGGCTAGAAGGCAGAACATTCTCTAATGAGCTCTTATATTATGATTATAATGATAATAATATATTATGATTATAATGAGCTCTTATATTATATATATTCTCTTCTGAGCTCTTATATTGAAGTGACCGAAACATCCCGTTAAATACTAGTCCTACCTTATTTACATAAAACGAGACACTGAGAACTCATTCTGGGAGGGAGTTATACGTGGGAAACAAGAGAATAAAGGAAAGGGTTAAAATTAAAATAAACCCCTATAGTACAACTGTTTCTTCAAGCGTAATTACAGTAAAGTAAAGTCCTTTAGCAACTGAGAGTTACTGAAAGACCGTTGCAGAACGTTCAATTGATTAAAACTAGAACTAGTTTCACTTAAGCTTTGAAAAGTATAATTTAAAACTGGTTTAGCTATAAAATTTAGTTTATCTCTTCGAGGATACAAATGAGAAACAATGAAATCTTTAAATATGGAGGTAACCTAAAGAAAAAATGTTTAATTCTAATTTTTGGTAGTTTTGTTTGAGATAAGCATTTCACAAGGAAACCAGACAATGTTATTTTTAAATCTAACAACTTAAATCTTTACTGACGAATAATCATGAAATAGAAACACTCTCTAGATGCAAAAAGGCAACTTACGAGCGGATTTTGCTTTTCACTTTAATGACCATTCACAGATTCAACATTGTAAAATATAGACCGTTCAATCATGTCTTGTCGATATTTGCGCCATCACTCTTCATTTTGAAGCGAATATTAAGACGTTCTTCTTTTCAATTTCATTTTACTTTTTCACTGAAAATAAAAAAATGGAGAATATTCTCATTTGTTTTCATTCCATTATACTTTTCTTCCAGAAAAAGAAAAAAAAATGTAATTTCGTTTACTTTCGAAATGTTCGTTATCTTTTGTGTTTGTAAAGCTTAATACAATGTTTGGTTCTTAGGAATTAGGTCTTTGATAATGTTAGAACTAAAAGATATCCCCCGGATTCGCTATACGAAAATTAAATAACCAGTGATTGTAAAGGAAAGATTTCTTACACCCGAAGAGAAAAGTAAATCGATTTTACAGAATCTACCTGGATATTTTTATAGAGAACATGGAAAAGAAATGAAAGAAAACAAAAAATAAAAATTTACAGTTCCAGTGCTACACTGCAATACTACGAAGAGGTTGCCATACAATTTCGAAACGTTTAAATTGTATTTAAGGAATTAAAAGAAAAAAGAAAACAGAAAATTAGAAAGATGCAATCCGATTATGATATTCAAATTTAAGTTTCACACCTCAAATAATTTTACGATACGTAAATAAATAAATAAGTCTGATAGTTTAATATTTAGCATTCCATAAATTAATGCAACAAATAAAATGTTATAAATGTTATATTTAAACGCTTGTTTAAAATTGCAAAGCCAGATGGTAGAAAACAAACGGTTATGATGTTTTTTAGCATAATTTAAGAATGTGAAAACTTGTGAACTTCGTATTTGAAAAAAAAAAAAAAAAAAAAAAAAAAAAAAAAAAAAAACTTTGCATTTATTTTAATGGATATTCAAACACTCAAGGGCATAGCAGCAACACTCAAGGGCATAGCTTTTCATTTGTTTCACTGGGCTTCTTGAGAAACCATTTATTCAAGTTACAATATTTTCTAGTTTGCCATGACGAAAAACTCGGGAATTGATAAAAAGAAATTCTTCGAAGAGTTTCCCTTCATGAATTTTGAAAGATGAAGCTGTATTTGAAATTCTTAAATTTTTGCATAAAATATATCTTAACCACGTAAAGGGAAATGAAGTTAAATAGTCATAAAACCTTTATCAATGTTCAAGAAAAATGGTCTTTGACGAATTCATCAGTGTTATTCATAGTTCATCAGTGTTAAACATATTCGGTATGGACACCATTTGTCACATTCTCTACGCGATGCTTAAATTTCTTTCGTATTCATGATGAAAGGAATGTAATAACTTTATGAATAATCAATTGCATTAAGATTGCATCTTAAACCATACACATCACGATTGAAATTCGGCAATGTGTGATAGTATAAAACTAAGTAAATTTTTTTCCATTAAAAATCAATATTTTGTTATCTTGAACCTGTGAAGTCCCTCGTGTTTTCGAGCTATGTTTCTTTAAAACTGCTCTAAGCGGATCTGAGAGACTACTGAGGATTTTTTAACCGTCGTTTCCACCCCTAAAAACGGAGAATGATCCCTGTTCTTCCTCCTACCTTCCCAAACTCGTCCCACAAAGTCACATATCCAGTTTCACACTTTATTATGATTTCAGTTACTACGTTATTTCAGTTACTTTTTAAGTTGTCTAGGAGACCGCTCACAGCAGAAGCGTACCAGTTTTGGTAGACGATAGACGTTAATTATCGGATGTTTGCTTTTCTTAAATATGATAAATATGGCTTCAAATTTTACAAGAAAACGTAACGTATTTAACACTTAAAACGAAATCGAATATGTTGCCAACAATATTTTTGACGTAGAATACTCTGATTCTGAAGAATCATGTAGTATTCACAGCGAAAGGAAAAGGTTCTGCAGATGAATATCATAATGTTTCTAATGACTGTCAAAAATGATAATTTTTATGGAAAAAAGACACTTCAAATGGATCAAAAAAGAACTAAGTCGGACGTTACGCACATCAAAGCATAACATAATAATTCAGCTCCTTAGTCTGAAACATCCTGCAAAAATAGGCTCTAGAACAGAGCCCGAAGATACTTGGAATTTATGTTCATACATATCGTTCCAGTCATATAGTGATGTTACATAACTGAAAAGAAAAGATTTATGCTTTTATTAGATAATCAACTTATTCAACCCCATCTGAAAGTTGGGATAACTAAAGACACTTCAAATTAATCAAAAAAGAACTAAGTCAGCACTTCTTTTTTGATCCATTTGAAGTTTCCAAGGGAACTGAAGTTTTTACCAAGGGAACTGAAGAGAACAATTAGAAGAATCTTTGGACAGAAGGAAATTAAGAGAATGGATTTATCAAATCAAGATGAAAAATAATAATAAAAAAAAAAAAAAATAAAAAAAATAAAAAAAAAACAAAAAACCATGTAGTCTGTGCCCACCTTGTAAGGAGAGAAAGACAGCATACAAATGCTTAGAATGCAAGGAACCAGTGTGTCTTCCAGTGCTGTCAAAAAATGTGTTTTGACCGTGAATCATCTTATGATTCCTTTTTGTAAGCAAAGATATACTAATCTATTATTTATTAATAATTAAATTCATTGTAGTAGAATTATCGTTTAATTGGCAGTAATACTTAATAAAGTCACATATTTTCATGCATGTGTAATAATATCTTTGTTCTTTAAAAGCTTTGTTCCTTAAAACAAATAAAATAGTCATTTTTTATGTGAATTTAACTGCGTAAAATTAAATGATTTATGTTTAAAATATAATGATTTAAATGAATTAAAATTCCATGAATATGCATAAAGTATCTATAACATTCCTTAAAAAGGCATAAAAGTATGTAATATTTTTATGCGTTTCTTTAAAGCGGTCTGTGAAACCGCTCACAGTAATTATGCCGCAAAAATTGTCACAGCAGTTAAATGCTAAATCATTCCATAACCCGTGCTTAATATCGTTTTGAGGGCGATCAAATACGGGTCCTTTTTCTTCAGGAGCAAGGAAACGGATCTTTGTCTGATCGCCCTAGAGATCTATAGAGATTTATTTAAAATCTAAGCCAAAATAAGGTGGCTACTTTTCTAAATTTTAAGTTTTACATTGGCGTGCTTCTTTCCTTATTTGATTAATAATACTATTTAGATTGGGCAATGACTGAGAAAGTAATGTTAATTTCTATGCAAACATATGATCACAAAAATTGGCTACTCCATTTCGAGCACCATGTATAGAACAATAGCAGAAAAAGTTATTTTCATATACTCACACATTCTTCATATAAAAATGGCTTCTTATCCATATTGTCAACTGTCTTTAATAGATGAAATTTGATTAAAGAATTTTGTGAAAAATGTTGTGCTTTGTATACAACTTCCCTAAAAAACTTTTGTAACTTTTATATTTGTGCTTTAAAAAAAACAAGCTAAATATTCACACCAGAATGCAGTCGAAGGAGCAGAAATGGACCATTTAATAATTTCAAAAATAATGATAAATTAACTTCCATAACATTACGCTTCCTTTTTAAAAGCATATCAAGAGGCAATTAATCCAAACGTAGAGCATGTAATAATGAAGCCTCAGATTGAAAATATTATTAAAACATGTGCTAAAATTAAGATGTCACGGTGACACTAATTACTCAGGCTATTATCAGGTTAAATCTTTTGTGAATAAAATTACTTCTTAGGTGTGTGGAAAGTGCTACCTTCGTCAAGGAAGATAACATCGTTAATTTAAAGAGAATTTTTATTTTGTTTATGGATAGATTAATTACCATACACTTTTTAATAGACCGGAATCTCCAAATTTGTTGCTAACAACATGTTTTATGAAATGTCATAAGGTAATTGATTGATTTAAAATGCCTCTTGCGTTCTAAGAACGAAGAAATTTTTAGAGCGATTCCATACCTTCTTCTGCGGGATGAGGCAGCGCTGTGAATTGATAAATAACATTTGTAAGTTTTCATAACATCTATCCTTCTTTCCATCTGTTTAATGACGTAAGCGTAGAAGGTATATGACTTTAAGAAGTGTGCGTTTATCCTTTCTGACGGAGCATAATATTCATTTTAAAAATTGTCATTTAAAACTAATTAATTAATTTTATTAACATAACCGGCTAAACTATTATAAAAATATAAGTTTTAAACATTCTAAGAAAATTAATTAAAGTATTTAAAGCTAATTAATTAATTAATGTGTATTAAAAGTCGGTAAAACTAATTAATTAATATTACGAAGTTAATACTAATTAATTATTAACTACCAGTTATACATCATAATTTAGTGCTCTTTGTCGTATAAAGTACTCAAAGTCAGTGAGGGTCAAAAAGCTCAAAAAGTCAATCAAAAATCGAGTATTCTTCTACGCTAGTTTTTCACTAAATCAGATAAGTATATCAGACTGATAACCTGCATCCTTGTCTGACTACGGGAAGCATTAACTGTGTGTTAAGGATTTTTTTTACTTTACAGAAATTGTTTGGACTGTTGTAGCAGGAATATATTTTGATAATTAAAGGCCTCTCGTAGTATTATTCTTTTCGTTAGTTTCTCTCGGCAGGAGAGTTTTTACTGGGCATCTGTTTTAGGGTAGAAAAGCATGAAATAAATTTCACAATGGTCAGTGAACGGACACGCTGGTCTTCGTTTTCACCTCTCTGTTGATTGAATAGAAAATCTCAGATTGAAAAATAAATTGACCCTTTTTGAAGCGAAAGGGTAACGCGCTTTTTTGATGGCAATTAAATGTAGGATGAGCAGTTCCCCGCTTCGAAAAATAAAGGGAATCCAGTTTGTTTCTCACGGTATAAGGGAGTCATCTGGAGATGGGAGAGTGATAGACTTTGTTGCCAGTAGTTTTTGTTTGTTGGACTAGCTTGAGAGGAAGTATTTTACTTAGTCAGAGCATAATTTTAGTTTTATCTTTCAACCTGTAATATTTTAGGGATGAAAAAAACCGAGATTTCTGCGGACCTTGTTCGAGAGCAGACAGCAGATCTGGCTGAAATTTGTTGAGTGCAAGAAAGAAGGAGAAAATTTTCCTATGGCCAAGCGGCCTGGGTGGCCACCTTAAGAACTCCTGATTTCCAAGCTACTGCGAAG